CAAAATAGTTTACATTCTTTTATATAATGTTAATTACAGAGACAAAGACAAAGTGCCTGGGTAGAGCAAAAGTTTGCTATTTTAACAAGGGTGCCTTATGATCCAAGCTTATGGGCAGCTTCTGAATATAAAAATGTCTGACTTTCATGTCAACAGATGGCTCCCGTCACTTCCTATGCATTGCACATACACAGGAAGCACCACTAATCTGCCTGCCCACTTGCTGCACATACATTCTGCAGAGAAGTACCAAAGACAACTTGCTCTCCCGGAACACAATCATTTTTTCATATTCCATTTTAACAAACAAAGTATCAGGTTGCTGACATATTAGACCAGACAACTACAGCAAAAGTGAATGTTTTGTTACTTTTTTAAAATTGCTCCTTATTGTCAAAAGGTTTCACATATGTAATTATCATCAAGTGTCAAAACAGTTTTCGAAGGCAAACATGACAGCCATTTGCACCAGCAAAGTCCCACAAACACCCATGGATCATAATAATAATAATCCTTGCATTGATGTAGCGCCTAATCATGTCTTTGAGAACTCTCAAAGTGCTTGACAGACTATACTGTGAAGTGAATTGACTGTATATTTTGTGGCAGTCAATTGCGCACAGCAGTGTCACACAAACAGTCATGGACTGTTTATTTTTTAAGCGTTATTAATGATAAACTGGTCTGAAGGATTGCTGACCAGGACTCACTCTTTCCAAAGAATTGATGGGAATTTCCAAAGCTATTTTCAGTCTGAAACTTAGGCTGTAATTTCCTTATTCCTGGTGATTTGAATCAATGGACTTGATACATAATGCCCATTTAAAGTGTTTGAACACCAAAGGTTAATCATTGCAAAACAATTATCTCCTTAAATTAATTTGTTTCCCTCCTATGGCTAATACAGGGAATGTTTTCATTTGGTGACTTTTGTGCTTTTTGTTATAAGGAATAATAGTGTGAGAAAAAATGTGCAATTTAGAAAGACAGGTTGTGGTGGCACAAACACAGTGAGCTAAATGACTCTCTTCTGCGCAGAAAATATCTATGAATGAAACAGAAAAATGCCCCATTTCAGAACGAGCAGCAGCATTAAAAACTCCATTTAGTATATTATCGACAACTCAACAGCCTGGCTGAGGTGATGACACTTTCACCTCCAAGTCAAAACATTTTGGATAAAAGTCCCATGTCGGGACTTTGAACTTTGTCTTGGCTGACGTTTCAATATTGTGTTGAGGGAGTTCTGCATTGTTGGAGGCGCCGCAATTCAGATGAGATGCTAAATCTAGGTTCTGCCTGCCTATATACATTAGAATATACAGTACAGAAACAGGCCATTTGGCCCAAATGATCTATGCCGGTGTTTGTGCTCCATATGAGCCTCCTCCTGTCCTTCCTCAACTAAGCCTTCGAGCATAACCTTCTATTCCTTTCTCCCTCATGTACCTATCTAGCTTCCCCTTAAAAACATTTATACGATTTGCTTCAACAACAATATAGTTGGAAGTTAAAGATCCCATGCTACTAATTGAAAAGAGAGGGAGTTTCTCCCAGTGTCCGAGCCTATAATCCCCCAGATAAAATTGGTCATGTCTGTCTGTGGGACACAACTGTGCACAAATTGGCATTTGCCTACACTTTACTGTAAGATCCTGTAAAGTGGTTTATGTTGCAACAATCATGTGGTAAGGCGCTTTACCAAATGCAAGAATTAATACATTTTGCACTAAAATCAGTCTTTTCATCTATAAATTCCTCAAGTTTTTAACATTTCCTTTCCCCTAATAATTTATTACCAGAGGCATATGAATACTGCAGTAGGTAAGCACCCAAAACTGCCCGTCTATTCCTGCCCCTTTGAACACATACCAATGGACACACTTGACTGAAATATCCGTTGTATACTCTTGAGAATATGAATCAAATCACAATTCAAGTCACTGCACTTGGTTCAGTACAACAATTCAAAGGGAGTCTTGCTTCCTTTTCCACTAGATTATTAAGGAAATATAAAAGTAACATGCAGCAAAGTATTTGACATCTATGAAAGTTAACCCTCATTATAAAGAGAATAATGCATGATAAATGAAGTTAGCTATCGATTTGGGGAGGAAGATTCGTTTTTAACTGTGATGTTGGTGAGTCATATAGTCTTTCGCTATAACTTAGCAAAAAAAATCAATATCCCGATTCTTATAAGATAGTTTGCCCTTGCCAGGAGACATCCTATCCAACAGCCTAAGTACTGATTAATCTCATTCCATTCAAAGATGTCAGACTGAATTATCAGGCAAGCGTGAAACTTGTTGAAACAAGCACATTAATGAGCAATAAACGCCTTATCTGAAGATTTACATCAAGTTCAAGCACTCAAATAATATATAGGTAAGCACTTAGCTCAAACTTAGCTCATGAATTTGCCAGCAATGTAATACAATTAACCTTGCCAGCAATGGAGGAAATTATGTGCCTCTCGACATTCTTAAAAGCCTGCAGGTAGTTGCTCACCAGTAGAGAAACATCAGGATGAAGTGTTTGGATTTGACCTCCAATTGCACAAAGATATTACGCAGTAAATATTTATTTTGCAGTAATGTTGAAACCAATTCTAATCATAATGCATTTGATATGGGATATTATCATATTGGTCACTCACTGTGCACATATTGACATCCACGTTCTTCCACTAAATGAATACTAAGTCGCATCACATTATAGAATATCCTGTGAAGATCTTTTCTGGCATCTTGATAATGTGATAAGGCAATAAATCAAATGTAAGGTTTGTTATTATTATATCATGTCATCAAAAAGTCTCAAAATGCTTCACAGGATTTTAATGTGAATTAACTATTTACGTGAATACAAAGACAAATCAACTGTGCCAGCAGCACATATGAAAGAATACATCTCGCGGCATTCCTTGGAGCCTGCAGCTGGTTCCAAAGACTAGCTCAAATCCAGAACCAATGGATTTATTCAGCTTTCAGAGTTACTGAAAGTATCAGAAGCAAATTATGTTCTGTACACACGCAGAGATTTTGATATCATCTCATAGGAATCCCAAATACATCAATATGTTTGTGCATACACCCATGATTTTCACAATTAGACATCGGAGGTGAGAAATGCATCTGAAAATCAGGTACCTTAGATCCCAGCTTCTTTCACTGTTCTTGCTGCGATGACAGCTAGCCATCTGTGCAGGCAATGGACTGTCACTGGGCTTTCTCAGTCTAACGGATTTTGCAATGTCAATTTGAAATTGCTACATGCAGAAGCAATGGTAGATTCTACTCAGGATTGGGTGTGAGCAGACAGGAGTCCTGTAGCTCAGTGGTTAGAGCACTCGCTTTGCAAGCGAGAGACCTGAGTTCAATTCCAGGCAGGGCTAAACCTTGGGCAAGTTTCCTTACTCCACACGCCTAATAATAATCCCTCCTAAACCCAAAACAATAATAAATTGGTAATTTTCAATCTACGACTGTTTGTGGGACATTGCTGTGCGCAATTGGCTGCCGCGTTCGCCCACAAATATACAGTCAATTCACTTTACAGTGTGTTCTGTGAAGCACTTTGGGACATCCTCCCGACGTGAAAAGCGCTATATCAAATGCAAGGATTATTATTATTATTATACAGTCAAAAAAACTGGCCACTTTACACTGCGTTGCTTCCGGAGACAAACAACTTGTGTAAAAGTGTAATTAAGTGTCAACTAAGTAATGTTCACTTACATCTGACCAGCATTAAAATACTGTACATTGCGTAAAATATCCAATTGTAGGAACTCACATTCACTACTAATAAATTGGCCAGATCCAGTAAGAGAAAGTACTGGCAACAAATTTGTTTTAAGAAGTGTCCTTTAGAACAGTCTTTGTTGCTGTGAATTGAGTTGGTGATAGCAACAATTCCCTGGTGTGATTGTGGTGGGCAGTTAATAAAGCATTGGACCCAATGATAACATGCAAAAGATCTACTCCCTCCCACAATGAACATGAACCGCAGTTCATATTAATCTGGTATGAATCCAAGCTGAGGTGAATCGACTTTAGGTATTTCTTAAGGAGCTCAAAATAACTGTTTCATTTGGCCCTTATACTTCGTTACTTCTACCTTTGCTGCATTATTTCTAATGGGTATTTTAAACATGGGCCTGTGCACAAAATTGACACAGATTAGCTATCACAACAATGTCCTTGCCTGAATGCTCCTTTTCAAATTTGTGCTATTCAGCACATGATTTGTTAACAACCGAGTCCACAATTATCTAATTGATTGAGAATGGAACAGTTAAAACTAGTTTAATTGCAGTCCTGAGGTGCTTTTTTTTAAACTGTTTTATCTGATAAGCGAACTTCACAAGAACGATGACCTAATAATTGTCTTCATTCAATTCTTAAGCACATTCCAACAATCTAACTTAAAACAATCATTTCCTCAGTGGTTTCAATTGTTAAGGTATATTAATGCAATCAACCCTGTATTTATTTGTAGCTGTCAGTCAATCTCACGAACACAGTGATGATCACAAGCAGCAGTCTGTACAGCAAGCCTGCATTTATACAGCTAACAGTGAAGCTGCTTTGTTTTTGGCAATATAACATGGAGAGGGAAGGCAATTTTAAACATTCCCAATGCACATTGTGGTAAATAGAGTTGAAAAAACTCTAATACCCAATATTATCATTTTGCAAGATAATAATAATAATAATTCTTACATTTGATATTGCACCGTATGTATCATGTCTTCAAGACTTCTCAAAGTGCTTCACAGAATATAGTGTAAAGTGAATTGACTGTATATTTTGTGGGCGAAACGCGGCAGCCAATTGCGCACAGCAGTGTCCCACAAACAGTCATAGATTGAGTGACCAATTTTTTTTAAAAAGGCATTATTAATCCCGGAAAAGCAATCTGCCAATCAATTAACAACCGGGTTCCTACTCACTGCTAGATAAACAAAGGCGTATGGAGTAAGGAAATTTGCCCAACGTTTCGCCCTGCCGGGAATCAAACCCAGGTCCTCTCACTTTCGAGGCGAGTGCTCTAACCACTAAGCTACAAGATCACAACTTTAAACATTATGAAAAAGTCCCATTAGCATAATGCTAAAAACTGTCCATTTCAGTGGATAGCATGAAAAAACTTTAAAAGAAAGAAGAAACAAGCCATGTGATAGTCACCATTGCCACATTCACATGGTGGCTAGGTTCAGTGTGAAAGGTAGGAATATTAGGATCACACCAAGCACTGAGAAATGCAACAATAAATAATTCTGACATTAGTTTAAATAACTGTGTTAAATTAATAAAACCGTAAATGTTGCTATATAATTGGTGAATATATAACTTTTTTTTAAATAAGCATTTGCTAAAGTGCCCCACAATAGACCTGTGAATAATGTGAGGAAATCCAGCAGAACATTATCTTGTAAATTATTTTATGAATTAGACAGATGATAAAAAAAATGCAAATGATCAGTGGTTGTCACGGTAAATGAAGAGTAATAGGAGGAGGACTTAAATCAGGGCAACAAAGCCGACTACACATTTTGACATGATTGAACCTAATAGTGAAACTAAGGAATGTTTCTCACAAGAAAGAAATTCAAAGAAGAGAAATAGCAAACCTACTTAATAGCGGATCTCATTAAAGAAAAGAAAATATTAAATCGAATCGTAAACAAGAAGCGGGAAAAAAGTAGGGCAATAAGTTTAAAAAAAGCCATTAGATATGAACAGAAATGGTGAAAAGCAAATTTAAGATACGTCAGGAAATGGATCTTTTCAGTTAGAAATATGTGGAATTATAGACTAAACAAAGGGAGATGCCATAGGCAGCTGGTGAAAATGTTATTTTAGGAGGATCGAATTCAGTTAAAGGGTCGGCCCTTTTAAGCCAGACGCAGCCTCCATTCCCGAGTCAAAATGGCTATCCCCGCCCTCCTTGTGGTGCCTCAGATTGGGACTGCTCGAAGGACAGGCCATGGTCCTCCTCAGGGATTAGGACATCCTCTCCAGGCTCCCCTGAAAGAGACGAACTGTAGATAGATTTAAGGGGCTAAGACTCCTCAAACCCTCGGCACACTTGCCGCCTATGCCAGAGACAACAACTTTAGAATTATTCAAAAGTGAACAACTCATTGTTCTGGTGGATTGTTTGCAGGAAAAAGGGAGAAACTCTTACCTTTTTGAATAGCGCAATGGGATCTTTAACATCTACCTGAACATGCAGTCAGGGCCTTGGTTTAATATCTCATCCGAAAGACAGTACCCCCAACAATGCATCACTTCCTTAGCAATGTATTGGAGTGTCAGCCGCCTGGACTGTGAGATCAAAGTTCAAATGTAGGCCTTGAACCAACAACCCTCTGACTCAGATGATACAGTGCTACAATCTGAGCCAAGCTAACATCTACAATGATGCAATGACAGGAGAATGAATGTTCCAATGATAGGATCATCAGCGGGCCAAACGGTTTTTATTAAGCCTTATTTTTTCAGATTTTCAAAACATTAAGTATAAAGGGAATAAATAAGATAGACAATGATATGCATTTTCTGTATAATAAGCATAGGAGTCCCAAGGGCCATGATTATAAAGTAATTACCTTAGTTTATAATCATTGTCTATCACCCCCATCCTCGCCCGGCTCCACTGGCTACCCATCCGCTTCAGGGTAGAGCTCAAAATCCTCATCCTCACATTAAAAGCCCTCCATGGCCTTGCTCCTCTCTAGCTCTGACCTGCTAACTCCATACCGACCTCTCAGTTCCCTCCACTCAGCAGACTCTGGCCGGCTCCATGTCCCCCGACCTGCCCACCTCGCCATCGGTGCTCAGGCCTTCAGCCTTGCTGCCCTAACTCCATCTCACACTGCCTTTGCCTCACCCTCTCCTTTGACTCCTTCAAGGCCTGCCTCAAAACCCTCCTCATCGGTCACCCTCCTATCCCCACCTTCCGTGCCCTCCACCCCTCTTGATTCCAACCATCAGCCTAGGTGAAAATCCTTGACTGTCCAGCTCCTTGGGACATCCTCCTGAATTCAAAGCTGCAAAATCAAATGTTGCTAAAACAGAAGCCGCTGGGAATACTCAGCAGGTCAGGCAGCATCTTTGGAGAAAGAAATGTGTCAACATTTTGGGTCCACAACCCTTCATCAGAACTGGTTTCGGGTCCACGACCGTTTTGACGAAGGGTTGTGGACCCAAAATATTGACTCACTTTCCTTTCTTCATAGATTGTTCCCAGCAACTTCCATTTCAGATTTCCAGTATCTGCAGCATTTTGTGTTTTGTTTGTCTTAATTTAGCTCAAGAAATAACTGCTTCACAAATAGTTGTTAACTTACAGAACAGACTGCCACTTCGCACAATAAATCCTGACTCAGCTGATGTATTAAGGTAAAGACAGATGTCTGATTCAGCAGGGAGTTAAAGGCTGTACGTTTGGATCGAAAGATGATGAACAGTGATCAGCTCAGGTCCTGACAGAGGACTTTGACTAACATTGCGAATGAGAAATGCTGAACAAATTTAATTTCCGTAAGCCCTACATTTTTATTACTGCAGTATTTGGACCCCATTCCAATTTGATTTGGTTAAGTTTCAAAAACAAAGCAAAGATTACTTCACAATTACATAGATTTGCGAGTGTTTCATATTCCTTTTCATACATTTTGGGGTTTAGAAGCTTCGCAATTTTGTGCGTGCGCATGTGTGTGTGTGGCGGGGTGGGTGGGGGAGGCCAGGGATAGGAGGGAAATGGAAATGTCACACGGCACCATTATCATTGAATGATCTCATTCACCACACATCAATAACTAGATAGTGATGAATGAGGCTCATGGGATGCTGAACATTATAATAAGGGGCCTGGAATTTGAAAGCTATTGTAATTATAATGGAGCAACATTTGCAGTACTTTTATTGTGGTTCCTCGTCTTAATTAGCATAAGAAACTCTTAAGGAATGACCACAAATTCCTTCTCATTTAATCAGCATTACCCTGTGCCCAGCATTTGATTTGCCACAGAATCAGGACTGAAACTACAAATCTTACTTTACTTCTTGAACCCTTTCAATCCTGCAGAAAGATCAGATTTTCACCCCTTCAGTCTGGGGCTTCACAATGACAAGACTGTGAAAACCCACAAAGCCACTCAGTCCCCTTATTACGTGTAGGTTGGCCAATGTTGTGTTGCCATAAAACAAGCCATGGATCATATTTACACAGTGGCATTATTTACAAAACACTCTTAGTTAAACAGTAATTTATGAGCATCACTTAAAGTGAACTTGACAGAATAATTATTGCAATTTGTTAACTAGACTTAGTAAATGGATTATAAAAATGTCATGAGCAGAGTCAGTAGCCACTTGTCTCCCTGTGAACCCAATTGCACAAAACGGCCATCCACTTTAGCAGAAGCCTTTTCTTCCGACGTCAATGGCAGAAATTGGATCATCATTTTTAAATATAGTCATTATTCTTATCTGGTATCCCTCACCTGGAATCCCTGCCATAAATTGGCCTCTTGTAAATGCAGTGTTCTTGAGAGTTTTTAAATGAAGAATCAACCAATACCTCCTTCGGCCAATACTTCAGCTGCCTCCAGGGGCTTTGTTCTGTATAATAATAATCCTTGCATTTGATATAGCGCTTTTCACGTCGGGAGGACGTCCCAAAGCGCTTCACAGAACACACTATAAAGTGAATTGACTGTATATTTGTGGGCGAACGTGGCAGCCAATTGCGCACAGCAATGTCCCACAAACGGTCGTAGATTGAAAATCACCAATTTATTATTGTTTTTTGTTTTGGAGGGATTATTATTAGGCGTGTGGAGTAAGGAAACTTGCCCAAGGTTTCGCCCTGCCTGGAATTGAACTCAGGTCTCTCGCTAATAAAGAGAATCGCAGCAGACCTGTGTTATGCAGTTTTAACACAAGGGAGGGCTGGGGACCAACAATTCATTTTCCACAGCCCAAGTTTCAAATGTGATTACTGTATTAGAAGCCTACCAAAGTGCAATAAAGAAGCTTAAATTTGAATTGCACCCTTAATAAATGTGAATTTCTTTACTATACCCTTAATAAATGTAGCAGTTCATCTGTCCCACTTGTAAGTTTAAAATAGATCAATGTCCAAATAATGTATTTCACTTTTTAAACAGAATTACTGTTTTAGGAACAAAATTGACAATTTTGTCATAATGACGGAAATACATTTTAAAATGCAGTTGGGAAATGTTTGCATTGTATCAAGTCAATTCGGACTAGCGATACTAGTAAGATAATCAATGAATCTTAAATGTGGTTGGAAATTGACTTTTTCCATTGTGTGAGAGGAAGAAACGTTTCAGAATTCAGAGATGCTGCTCTTTCAAACATTGGTCCTCCTGCGTAGCTTACATACCAGAATTCTACACAACTCAAGCACTTGGCTGATAGAACCTCTGAAATATCACTACTGGATGTTCCACCACTAGCAAAGATATTTTATTTCTTTAAAAATCTTAATGTCAGAAAAAGCACTTTCCTAACCAAGCGCGCCTTTTTTTTGTTGAGAAACCCAGATGAAATGCCAATGCCAATACTATACTGCACTCCAATGCTAAAACAAACAAAGCAAAGACGACTTTACCACTATAAATAACAAGAAGGGTATTGGCCATTAGGCAATCATCCCTTTAATGTTCAGATTACTCTCATTGTTAGTTCAAGTACGTGCCAATATTCTTCCAGTCTACGGGAGAGAACAGACCATTTGTCTTCAAGTCTGTGTGTGAGTGTATGTGTGTGTGTGTGTGTGTGTGTGTGTATACGCACAAAGTGAAATCATAGGAGAAAAACATTGAGTAAGAAACCCACCTCCCAATCTTAATACCCTCCATGTTATTTCTTATTCCCCGTGAGACATTATAGGAGAAAGTGCAGTGAATTTGTACTTCATGTTTTATTCAGAAATATTCAGGAGGAGGAAATGAATAAAGAAATACATATTTGAAGCTTGAGATGAACAAGACAAAAAGCATAAGGGAAGCAATTCCCTTAGCAATATTGATAC